ATATTAAAATGCCCCCTTTCAAAGTTTAAAAGAATTATTACTCAATAAGGTAGGAAAATATGAAATTGAATAAACACCAAAACCAAATAGTGGAATATATTAGAACATAAACTATAGATGAATAGTGAGAGAATGGAAGTAGAATGGGGAGCCAGGCAGTGGTGGCACACACCTTTAATCCCAGCACTTGGGAAGCAGAGGCAGGCATATTTCTGAGTTCGAGGCCAGCCTGGTCTACAGAGTGAGTTCCAGGACAGCCCGGGCTATAAAGAGAAACTCTGTCTCGAAAAACCAAAAAAAAAAAAAAAGAATGGGGAATTTAATGAAGAAAATAAGAACAAGGAAAGAAATGACAAACAAGGAGTCCCAGCTCACCTAGAGGCTAAGTGAGGGTTACTGGAGCTTATAGTTCAACACCAGCCTGGGCAAACAAAAGAACTCAAAACAACAAGAAAGAATAGATCTCCTACCCCTAAAAAACCCCAGAGGATATTAATAATATGCTTAAAAACAGATATTAAGTGTATCCTCATGATGCTAACTGTTCATTCGAACATACTGCAGAATCTATAAATTTTCAGAAAAGGAAAAATTTCCAAGATTTATGTTAGAAACAGAACCCTGGCCAAATGAAGAATATGCATGGAAAGAAAAAAACTGAAAGAATTACTTTCAAGGAAACAGGATTGTCAAGTTAGAAATAAGACGGCTTTAAATTCTTTAATCAACAGCTAGTTCTTGGGACATATATTTTAAATAAAACAGCCTTCCAATTGTTATTCTGCTAATGAACATGCTAATCAGTGCCTGCCTAAGTAAACACAGATACAGAATCCTAAGTACTTATTTAGTCAATAGTACACAGCAATATTAAATTTTTAAATGGATAGCTTAGTTAAATCCTATTAACTGATGTCTATTAGGACATGGTGGTGTATATTAAAGGAGAAAACCTATATAAACATTGGTAAGAAATTTAACCTCATCCTATTAAATATACTTTATAAATAGAAAAAAACTAACACTAAGTAGCTCATCCCTAATCTGTTTATACACGAAGTCTAAGACTGTAAAAGTTAGATATTCATAAAATCAGAAAAGATAAATCAACTCTATAAACTATTAAAAATGATAACTAGGAAATATGGCTAGATTTTTATTTTTCAATAGTAACTTTCCTATAGAGTGTCAAGCTTAAAATATTACAATAATGGGACTGGAGAGATGGTCAGTGGTTATGGACAAGTACGGCTTTTGCAGAGGACCCATTCTATTCCCTGCACTAACACCAGGACGCCTGTATGTACCTCCAAAGCAATCCAAGAGCTGGCCTCCATGGGCACCTGCATTCATGTGCAAATGCCCAAAACCTCACAATACTTACAAGTTCATTTCTAAAGGCAACAAAAAACAATCTTCAAAAAAATTAGTATATTGAACAACAAAAATTTGCAACTTACAGAGACCCTAACAAAATACCACCTTACCTTCTAAATGGCAAGCTCCTCTTAACAAAGTTTGACTATATTTTCAACTAAAATGGCTAACATTCCCAAATGATAAGGAGAGGCAGAAACAGAAAAGGTGAGAGATTTAAAGTTCTCTTTGTTTTTGTTTGGCTTAAATGCAGAGTCTTTATGTAGCCCAGGATGGCTTCGGGAACTCAACTGTTGCTGGATGACACTGAACTTCTGATCCTCCTACCTTCATCTCACAAACACTAAGATTATAGTTGGGTAGCACCACGTACATTTTATGCCAGAGATGGGGATCACAGCTGGCGCTTTGGGCATGCTCCATCAAATACACTACATCCCCAGCTAATAAAGTTTTGAAGCTCTGTCCTATAACAAATTATCTAAACAGGTTATGGATTTGTTAAGAAATCCAAACACAATATAAATATAGCTCCATGGGAAAGCACTTTCCTAATATGCAGGGCTCTGAATTCAACACCCAGTTTAAACACACACACACACACACACACACACACACAGCATGTACACAGAACAGAGATGGAACATCACAGAAACCTCAGGAGAAGACATTAAAAACTAGGGGAGAACAAACTGGTCAACAGATGCTGTTGATACAACTAACTAGGCTTCAGAAATAGTCATAAAACTGAATCCTTGCCTCACTGTATCTAACAAAGTAAATTCTAGGTATGGTTAGAAACAGAAATCATATCTCTTGGAGTACCAAAAAAGGTCTCTAAAAACAAACCACAAGGAAAAGATTATTAACTACAGAAAACATTCAAATTTTTGTTTAACTAGACATCCCAAAGGCAGGTACTTTTGAAGATAAGTAGGTCACCAGAGGCGATCTTCAAAACCATACAAATAAAACTTTAGACAGGTCAGACTACCAAATAAAGTAATGAAATCCACTAGTAATAAAGGAAACGCAAATTTAAAAGATTGTCACCTGACAAACATACCTCTTCTGTGTTCCTACTCCTAAAGATGACTATGAAAGGGGAAAGCATGACTTTCTTAGCTTTCTCCAACAGCGAATATCCTATACCACCCACCACCAAAACAAAAAACAAAAAAACATGGCACAGTAAATCAAGAATGGCCTTTTTTAAAGAGTCTGCTTTAAATATACACAAAAAGAAAGTACAACTTTAAAGATGCCCTGGAATTCTTATGGAAGTTTATTTACTGACTATCAAATACACCCTTCCTTTTTCCCTCTTAAAAAAATAGCCTTTATATTAAACTGAAGTATGAGACCATTTTTAAACTCTTGCAAAAGAATGTAACTTTATAACAAACTAATTCAGCAAAGGAGAATAGAGATGATTTACTGCATGGTCTTACTTTAACAGAATGAGAACTAGAAACTTCTGGTGAGTTGAGACCCACTATGATCAAAATTTTGTTTTCTTCCATCTTCAGCTGACCATGAAATAGCTTATTATTAGTAACCTCTAGTAATTTAAGAAAAAATCAACAGAAAAGCCCTTTGGTAGATAACAGGCTTATATAATAATTTCTAATAAGAGAACCATAGAAATACTGTTAACAGGAAATGACATTTTAATGACTTGGTCTCAGAATTACTGAATGTGGCCTGTAGAAAATACACAGGAGCCTTTTAGTAACTGCAAATATGAAATGCATCTGCTACCACCTTCTAGTTTTCTAAGTTATTTTCTATGTTTTTTCTATAGTCAAAGAAAACAGGCTTTTTTGTTTTTGTTTGTTCAAACAGATGTCACTCTAACTCAGGCTGGTCTCCAACCTCAACAGGTAAAACAACCTAGCCTCAAACGTCTTGCCTCTGCCTCCCAAGTGTTAGGAATGCAGACATGTGCCACTGTGACTGGCCATACAAAGTTTTTAGGGGTTTTTTAGTGTGTTAGGGATTAAACCTGGGCATCATACATACTTTCCCCTTTCAGCTAGGTCTAGCCCTTAAAAAGTTACTATTAGTCTAAATTATTATTAATTTAAATGATTAGTCTAGTCTAATACTGGCCACATTATTAACAGTTTTCCTAATCATAAGTTGGTATTGCATAGGCATGGTAACAGGTCCCTGTTATCCTAACAGTTGGGAGGTAGAGGCAGGAGAATCAGGTGCTAAAAGCCCGCCTTAACTACATAGTAACTGCAAGGCCATCCTGAACTACATGAAGACCCTTAGGTCTTTTAAAATTTAAAAAATGTTTACTGCAAAATTAGATGTGATGTACAGGAACCACATTAGCAATCCAGCTATCAAAAATAAGCCAGGGCAATCTCTAAGTTTTAGTACTGTGGAGGTTCATCATTCCATTTGAGGCTACTAGTAGGTGTGGTTCATCTTTAAAACTAGCAAAGCCAGCATCATATTCCAACGTGTTACATATTCAAACGTGTTCTGCTTCAAACAGCTACCTGGTGTGAAAAATAATTGGAGCAGGAGTGGACTCAGCAAATCCACCAAAACCTCACATACAAGTGTTAACCATTTCACTTGAGAAGCATCAACCCACACCATATGCATTTTTTCTCAAATCTTGGTAATTCTTATGAACTAGCCATATTTAAGTAGGTCTGCTTCCCTCAGTGAATTTGTGGTTTTGCTTCCTTGTGAAGCTTTATTTCTCTGTTCAAATTTCCATTTTATAGTCACTTAAGCATAATACTAGACATTAACAAGAAAGTCGGCCAACCTCATCTATATGTGGTTAAATATCCTCAATGATGATAGTCACTGAATATGGATCTGCTAACAAAAGTGGAAGCTGTTAAAGCATATGGTGTGGGTTGATGCTTCTCAAGTGAAATGGTTAACACTTGTATATGAGGTTTTGGTGAATTTGCTGAGTCCACTCCTGCTCTGATTATTTTTCACACCAGGTAGTTTGATGTAGAACTTAAATACACGTTTGAATATGTAACTGTCTTGGGATGCTGGCTTTTATATTCCACAAACCAGTTAAATCAACCCTCTAGAATTATTCCTTTAAATTTCAGTTTACCAACGGGTAACAACTGAAGATTTAGGAAATACTGAAATTTCCATGCAGGAAAAATTCTTTGTGAGACATAAAAACTTCACGGAAGACTGTTTTTCCCATAGGTCAATCTTAACGTTCATTTTCTTCAGTGTGACTTGATTCAACCCTCTTAGGCTTTTATTACTTTAAATCTTACCCAAAATACGATTTTAAGTAACTAGTGATTTCCCACCTCTCAGCACTGCATTAATACTTTGTTGATGTGTCTCAACATACTGTGAGACATCTTTTCATGTAACACCACCCTGAGTCTGGACTGTCCTGCAGTCACTGGCCTCTCAGCATTCCACTATGGTTTAATTGGCATTCCCTTTTCTTACACATAGGATATAGTTACACAGACTTAGAAAACACACATTATTAGAAGAAATAGTTCCAATTTTCTATTTCAAAGCCAATAATTTCCTTGTCTTCCCAGCCACTCTCCCAACATGGATATATATCTGAAATGTTTAATTAGAAAAACTATCCAAACACAAGTCAATTTTATATAAAATATTTAATTTTAAAACACAGGCTATTCATGTCACATAAATAGTTTCAATTTTAGGTTAGCTGCTTATGGCCAGCAGATGTATCAAATGTGACAAATAATAATTTAGATACTGTCACTTATAGGAAAGTCTAAAGCTCTAAGACTCACCATATTAAAATTTCAGAGACTTGAATACTCTATTTTGCTAAATTTCAAAACATTTCTTCACTTCCTCTACTGTTTTATTAAGTTGTTAGTACTCAATATTCAAATAAAAGCAAAATATTTTTTCTTCCATTAATTTTTTTCTTTTACCAACAAAATACCATCAAAAAATAAAATGGTCAACTGAAAACTCATTTAATAGGCATAAACTAGAAAATTATCTTTAAAATATTCTGTCACCAAACAATAATGTTTCCTGAATGTTTATAAGTGCAGGGTCACAAATCATATAAAGGGCATAAAGTTAAACTGGCTTTTCGTAACAATTCCTCCCTATTTAATATTCCAATGGAAAAGGTACTAGAACAATTGAAATTGTCAGTTGGCACACTCAGTTTCCCAGTCTGTTATCTATTAATGATGAAGGAAATGCTATTTACCTTTGGTTCCTTTCCAGAAACACAATTTTGTTTGTGTGTGTGTGAACATAAACATAGTGAGACTTGACAACATCATAGTTATTCTTTCTTGGTTGATTTTAATAGAATAAAAATGACCTAAATAGCACTGCTCTAATCTGGCAGAAATTACAGTAAATTTCACAAAATTGAAAGGAAGAGGGAAGGTTTTCTCTGAGGGTTTTTTGTTTTGTTTTTTGGTTTTTTTTTTTTTTTGCTTTACTAAATTAAATCTAGGACATGTTTCTACTTAAGTTGACATTTTCTTAAAATATTTATATAACTTAAAATATGGTGCTTGCCATATTATGGTGTGGACCTTAATACATTTATTATGTATCATTTGTATTTATTTTGTTAATCGTCATACATACTTGCATTAAAAATCCTGCCCTCCAAATAGAAACTAGGTCAGTATGACAGCCAGAAAGAAAGGAGTACTCTAAAATTCTCACTCAGCTATTATTTTCAACCACTTAACTGATGAAAAAAAAAAATTTTAGTACTTCCCAGAAGTAACAAAAGGTACTGAGTTATCCCTTTCTTTTCCTTACACCCCTACCAAGAGAAGGTAACAGTGAAAGTTAACACAGCCAAAAGACAGGCAGAAAAGGACAGTGTGACAGGTAGAGGGAATGGACCTAACAGAACTGACCAAGCAACTCCTAAAAGCGGAGAAGCTTCCTGCCCCTTCAGCACAGTGCAGACTCCCTTAGAAAGACAGTGGTGTGAAGGCTAACTTCATCCGCAGTCATTAAGCTTACCTGTTAAGGCACTTACTCAACCCCTCCCCACCCTACCCATAGTTTTCATATAAAAACCACTATTTCATTTGAATGAATTTTGCTGTGTTATGGTAACCTGAAAAAAACAAAACAAAAATAATGTTGACCATTTTTTTATATAAAACTGTTGCATCAAGAGAAAGGTTGTGTTTTATTTTCTGAAATGAGCACAAAGTACACCTTTCACAATAACACTGAAAGCAGGTGCAAAGACTGACAGTGACCTTTGACTAAAGGTAGCTTTGTAAAAAGAAAATACCAAATAAATCAGTGCCCTTTCTGATTGTTGTAAAACTGGAGGAGTGAGGGAAGGGGTAGGTTGTTTACATAAAAGTTGGTCCAAACTTACAAAAAAAAGCACAAGTGTGCATAGTTCAGAAGATTTGCAACAGGGCCATAAAAACATTATGTCCCTAATGTTAGCATCCACTTAAAACTGCAAGAATACAAAATAAAAGTGTTAACTAAAATCCGTGACGATGTACAATCAATAGAGCTAGTTTTAAGAACAGCATGAATTTAAGCAAAGATTTTTTTTGTCGTTTTCTCTTTTTCACTATTGTATGCAAGACCCTTTCCACATAAAAATAAAGCTGTTGTTGAATTAATATTATTCAAGTCTCTTGGATTGCTGCCTCAAATTGCAGCTAGAAAAGTCTTTCCAGATAAAAATGATGTGCCTGAGGAAAAACAGATACTCAGTATGGTAACCCTCTGCCTCGACCTCTGCCAGCTGATGTGCTAATGTGTCCCCTGTATCCTTGTGAATATCCAGGTCCTTGGGCAGGAGACGTCCAGGTCTGTCCATGCATGAGGCTAGGGCCACCTGGATTTTCCTGTAAGTTACCACCATAGTTATAGTTGTGCATCTTTGCTGGCAAGGGATGAGTACTCTCTGGCCCTGTGGAAGGGTCACTGCTGTTTGTGAGAACTGTGATAGGACCATGGCTATATTCAAATCTATGGTCCTTGTCTCCACTAAACAACATGGGACCAGCATTGAGGTAAATGTCTCCATATCCAGCTACTGAACTGGGAAATGACTCGGTAAAGGCAGAAGTTTGAGGTGGACCACCAGTGTGAGATGAAGCAGTACTGTAGTTATCCAGAGACTGAATATCTGAGTTTCCAATGAAACTACGTGCTTCCAACAGTGCAGCAGCGGAACTACTTCCTAAACCATCGCTGCTAACATAAGGAGCGGCAGAGAAAGAAGATCCAAAGTTGTCCTTATAGTCTGAACTGGGCACATATGTGTCTCCTGTGGGATAATCAATACCACTTTCTCGTTTAGGATCATCCTGGGGCTGATGCTGAGCAAGCAGCTGTAAGAGAGCTGCCTTCACTCCAGCATGTGGGTCAGTTAATGAAGAACTAGTGGTAGGTACATGCTGGTTTTCTGTCCGATAATCCAGGTCCTCCTCAGTGACTGGTGGTGGTTCAGGAGGTTCAGGAGGTCGTTGATCAGGAGGCAGAATCCGAGGCCGGTCTGGTTCTGGTGTCAGCTCCAGAAGCCTCCTGTCTTGGTGCTGAATGAGGTCATCTTGCCCTAAGTAAAAGAAAACCAAGAAAGAGTCTAAAGTTACCATGGAAAATGAAGTACTCAGAATAGTCATACATTCCACCTTTGACAAAATACCAAAGGGTATCTCACAAGTGCTCATGTTATCCACTACCACTTAAACACAAGATTACTAAAGAAATACACTATCCAGCCGGGCGGTGGTGGCGCATGCCTTTAATCCCAGCACTTGGGAGGCAGAGGCAGGCAGATTTCTGAGTTCGAGGCCAGCCTGGTCTACAGAGTGAGTTCCAGGACAGCCAGGGCTACACAGAGAAACCCTGTCTCGAAAAACCAAAAAAAAAAAAAAGGAAAAAAAAAGAAATACACTATCCAACTCCACAGTCATACTTGATGCTTGTGACAGCACACACAACATTTATCCTTTTATATTAAGAATAGTTATTGTAAATTTACCTTAGATAAAAAGTATGATATTCATAATGAATAATTCATATATGGATAATTTTCTAAACACTCGACTCCAGGAAGTAAACAGAATAGGGAACCACCTCTCACCAGTGACCTAAGAATGTCTTTAACAAATGTCACTGAATAGTCAAAGCCATATATAGCAACAGCTCTGAGCCAATCACTCACCAGATCCAGGAGTGCTGGGTTCTGGAGGTGGCCTGAGTTGTAATGGAGCTTCATGTCCTGATCCATTTTCCCTCTCCTCTAGCATGGCATCTTTCTGTTTTGACTGTTGGGCCTTTATTAACTGCGTCAAGAGGACTGCAAATGCACTCTGCACAGCAGCCTGGGCAGCATCAGTCTCCACTTTAGGCTGGATGGTCTGTGAAGGCTGAACTCCTCCCAATGATTTTGAAGACTCCTGTTGTGGTGTTGATGGATCTGTCTGTTTTTCACCTGTTGCCAAAATTCCAGCAGGAAGGTTTATTTTATTTAGCTGCTGCTGAGTCTCAGAGTTTACCTTAATGTTCAACACTTGGACAAAATCAGCCATATTAACACTTGATTTAGACTGTAGTAGGTTTAGAAGAATTGCCAATTCACTGTGGTTTAACGGCTGTCCAGGGCCTGTTATTACTAAAGACAAAATGTATTGATTAGAACTGCCATAATTCACAGTTTTCCCAACCCCCATAACCTCTTCATTATACAGTATGAAAATTCCAATTGAGGAAGAGTTATGAAACAATGTGAAATGAGCACTTCAATCTACTTACTGTCATGACATTCAAAATCTAACTACAACACAAGCCAAGACAGACATTAAAACTACAGTCTATTTTGGGTAATTCATCTTTAGAAATACATTTTTCAAAAGAAAAAGACTACCACCAGGGCCATGCACAGATTTAACCAGGAGCTATCACTGTGTGTGAGAGAAATGAGTGATGACAACTGCTAACAGTGCCAGCACTTTCTAAGCATTTGCAGCCTTTATCCCTCACAGCCACTTTATAAGACAATATCTGTTAGCCTAAAAGAGTGAATAATTTGCCAAGATCCTGGATTCTGAAATTTAATTCTGAATGAATGCAGTCTCTGAATTCTTTATTATGCTATCCCACTTGAAAAATGAAGTTAACTGTGCAAAGAACTTTTGAGAAATTAAAACTAATACTTTACACACTACGATAAAAATCTGTTTTTATTCAGATTACTTTCATTTAAAAACATTAAGTCATTTTGAGTTAGAAAGACCTACACAAACATGAGTATTATATATTAACTCATTACCAGTAAGACACATCTAGTTAATTTTCTTTCTCCAATATTCAGTCTAGAACTGACAGACTCCTGGGTTCTTCAGGAAAGCTGAAACTTCAATTTTTTAATAGCTGTCAACTAGCCAAGCATAGTGGCACACATCCTTAATCCCGATAGGTGGGTGGTTGTGAATTTGATGCCAATTTGCTTACAAAGAGGGTTCTAGGACTGTCAGGGCTACAAAATGAGACCTTTTCTCTAGATAGGTAGATAGATATGAATGCAAAAAAGAAATAACTTGGTCTAAGTAACAGATTTCAATCTTAAAATATAGTCTTAGTAAGAATGATGTACAGATAATTCATCAACAGGGATAAACTTCTTTTGCAGTTGTGGCTGTCTCTGTGTCTTCTCTGCCTTAATTAAATACTGAGGTTTATAGACTAATGTTAATGAAAGACATCCATACTCCTGACTCCTAAACTAGAGAAACAGGAAAAAGAATTCTGACCAATCACCACAAATCCATGATTTGAGACTACTTGTAATGTGAGTTGTGCTGGCACCATCAATAAAGTAATGCCCAGTTCACTGAATAAGCCTTAACATTTATCTTTTTGCCATAGTATGTTTTACCAGTAGTACAAATACATTCAACACAGGTCATAAAGCAATGTGAACAAACAAGCCAAAGAAGCATTACTAACCAGGTGCTACATTTGAGTTGCTCTGAGATTTCAACTGTGTAGGTGGCAGCACACCCTGGGGTGTGTTAGTCCTGCTGTCATCTAAGCCTAGAGACAGGTCCTTTCTGGGGGCTTTGATTGTGGAAAGATCATCAGTCATGCCCATCTGTTTCTGTCTTCTTCTCTTTTTACTCCATAATTCATGACAATCTTGCCACAAAGGAAGGCTGAAAAAAACAGATGAATGCTAAATCACAAATGCCATAACAAGAAATTCTAATGTTATAATGTACCATGAAAGCCATTCCCCTCCCACAAACCATTCTGGAAAGCTTCATACAAATGTTTAATAAGATTCCGTCATACTTCAGGGTTTTTAACTTTAGTGGAGAACTAATTATTTTTCTTTTTAACTTTTTGTCCTAATTTTTTATTGTTTAAAATTTTATTCATGCATTAATGTGTCTTATCAAGTACATCCCATATCTCCCCACTAAAATTCCTTTCCTAATCTCCCCTAAATCTCTATTCCCTCCTGATTTCATGTTTTCTTTCTCTTTCTCTCTCAAAACTCACTAAGTCAACTTAGTGCTACCAGTATGTATATGAGTAAAAGGCTACCTGTAGCTGGAGTGTGGATAAACTGTAAAGGGGCCACATCCCTGAAGAAAAAAGCCAGCAGCCATTAACTGCAAATATCTCCTCAGCAGGGAGTGGACTTTCAAGGGACTGACTACTCCTTCCCTCCATTCTGGGATTTTGTCTGGCTTGATCCTAAGAGGGCCTTGTGTATACTGTCACAGCTGCTGTGCACTCATATGCACAAGTACCCTAGAGATAAACTATTTTTGTCTTCTGAATAATCAATAAATAACTTCTTCAAAGTTATGAAGAATATATATTAATAAAAGCTAGCTATTATCCTTGGTATAACCTTTTAAAACCAACTACAGCACACTGTACACTGAATAAGAATTTTGAAAAAGGATGCAGAAACATGCTATTTGTAGTAGCCAGACTTAAATAAAAAGGAGAGTAACATAATAGGCTAGAACACAGGATTCGTACAAAACTTTTTAGTAAAATCTTTTCACTTTTTAGTCACATATTTGCTACTGTTACCAATTGTTTAAGAAATAAACTGATTCTATAGATGAGTCTCAAGAATAGATAATCCAGGCACAGAGAGGCTCATTACACTCATCAACAGAATTCTATGTGATTAGTAACTACCAAAATTACCTCTAATTCTATAATAATTTTTCATCTCAATATAATTCTATAACACTGAACACTAAAAGTAACTTTTTCTTAAAGACAAAAATACTTGACTTACAAATGTTTTCTTTTGATCCAAGTAATAAGGCCATGTAAACTTACTATTACTTTTCTCTAGCTTAAAGGTGAGAAAATTAAGGCTTGGAAAGGTTAATAAACTTGCCCAGAATATCTAGATTCTTTTATGTAATGCCATCTAGTGGTATATACCTGCTGTCCTCCACTTGGATATTTATCTCAAGAGGTATACAGGACTTTCCAAGAGTGTACCTGAGGTTGTAGACGGGGACTTTATTTCCGCATGGGCCCTTTTCAAAGACTGAACTAGAAGAATGCCCTGAATGCTCAAGTAGATAATTCTTCCACAATTACTTTCTCATATTATAAAATAAAGGCATATGCAACAGAATGGTTGAATCTTAGCAATATAATATTAATTAAAAAATGTCATTCCACAGGATTACAAAACAGCATGACACCTTTGTATAAAATGAAAAACAACTACATTCTTTAAATGTAATTTTTTATGGATACATACAGATGGCAACAGAAAATATATACAAGAATAAGGAAACGGGAATGATGGTTACCTTGGGAAGAAGAGGGCAAGGGAACACGTGGGTAGGAAGAAGGGTTATGATATGATTAAAGTGGGTTATTCTCAAGGTTCTAGCTTTTGCTTGGTAGGCTCATGGCTGCTTATTAACATTTAAAATAACTAATTAAAGTAACTAAAATAAATAACAGAGAGCCATGCATGGACCAATGATGAGTGACACAAGGATTATGATTAAACCAAGTCTATGCACCTGAGGTCCGAAAACAAAACAAAGGCATACCTCTCAGCCATCTTACTATGGTGCATTGCCTCAGCGTGTAAAAACCTCCTGGAGTAACAAACAAAGGGATAATTTGAAATATTGATACTGGGAAGCTGTAAGGCATCAAAAACCCTCCAAAAGACTTTCCTTTCTGGGACTGTGTTTGTGTTTTATGATGTGGACGGTAGCCTCTGTTGGGATGCTGATTTCAAATATACTATAGTACTACAGATTAGGGTAAATAATATCATTACACCTCCTCCATTCTACCAGCCAAGAAATACAATGCTCTTGTGGAAAAGCAAAGAAATCCAGGTAAAGGATTTGTTTGTTCCCTCCCACAACTTAAAAGAGATTCATTATTAATTACCTTAACACTCATCTCTATAAAATATAAACATAACCTTACAATGATAGATTTGTTATGCTGATTCTCTAAACAAATCAGGCATGTTTCCAGATAACCAAAAGCATGTGTTTCCTTAAAGGTTCAAATGCTGGCTCAGCCACTTATTTGTTATCCCATTAGACAAGTAACTAAACCTCTGTATCTCGATTTCTTTTTCTTTAAAAATGAGATTAACAATATTACCTATTTCCAGGGGACAGAAGTAGTATGTTAATTTGTATCAAGGGCATCCTTGGTCAGAGCCACGCACATAGTACATAATATATTTGTGTCTGACATCACTAATCTTCATTCAGTTGTCTAAAAGTGTGTTTATCAAGTCACAAAATGCCTACTCTAACTCTAATTATAGATGGTCACATAACTGTCCAAATGTTTAATGCTTTTTATATTGCTAATAAGATATAGGCTAGAGGCCATCTAATTCACATTTTAGTTATATAGTTTATAGAATAACACCCCTACTTAGTAGTTTCTCTTATATATTAAATAGAGGGCATTAAATGTTTACATAAGTTTTAATTTAAATACTGAATTGATATCATTATAACCTTGGCTTGCCTTCTTTAGTGATGTACCTAAGAGCATACATTTCATAACAGTTTCACAGAACACCCCTGAGTGTACTGTTTTTTGCGGTTTTTTTTTTAACTTTTTAATAGAAAAGTACAGTAAAGTGTATTCTGATAAAAATAAAGTCTGAGTTACATACAGGGCTTTGTTTGACAAGAATTACAGTTTATAAGGAAAAACAAAACAGAAAACAAAAACCAAAACCAAAATTCCACAAGTCTTTCAAGTCATAGCACAAAAAATGGTAGCACTAGTTTAAAAAAAAAAAAAAAACTAGTGACTAACATCTAAATGAGCTTTTGGGGAACATGACTTCCTTATTGTCAGGAGACCTGCAGGAAAAGACTTTTCAAATGATCTCACTTTTTTTGTTGTTTGTTTTTTGAAATGTGTGTGTTTTGTCTGCAAATAAGTGCTTGATATCCACAAAAGTCAGAAAAGGGCATTGAATTCCCTGGAACTGGAGTTTTAGATGGTGGTCAACCACCATTTGAGTGCTAGAAACCAAACCCAGGTCCTCTGCAACCAATGATCTTAACCACTGAGCAATGGTTCCTGCCCTGATCTCATATTTTGATTCAAAAAACAAAACTTTAGATACTTAATGGAGAAGAAGTTCATTGGCAGTGATACAGCTGTGCACAACTTCTTTCAGTGAATGTTTATTTGCAAGGACACTCATGAAAATAATAAATTGTCTCAATGTCTGGTATTTAAATAGGACTGGTTCAAAGATAGGAAAAAAGATCTCAGTTCCATCACTTCTATTAGACTTCATATCCAAAAATCCACTGATGGTTTAAAACACTGAAATGTATGCTACTAATACAGCATAATTAATATCCTATATTAATATTCATAGAAATGTTTTAAAATTAAAGTCCATTTATATAAATGCTAGTGTTTAAGAAGTACAATACCACAATTAATGTAATATTAGTTACAGTAGAATAAAATGCAGAAATAATAGAAGTTCATGATGAAAAAAAATGCTCAAATGTTGAACATTTTCTAAATGAATTTAAAGGACATTCAGATCTCAATGGATACATTTATGAGATTAATATAACTACAGTACTTAAAAATGTCAATTAAAAATTCATTTGCAATTTGTAAATTTGGCTTTAGACATTCATATGAAAATAAGCTTGAGACAGCTTTACAATCCTTTCATGTGGATAAATGACTAGAATTAGTAATTATGTCTCTAATAACAGGACAAAATCATAAAACATTCCTCTTGATGTATTCTATAAGAAAACACATATTACCTTGTAGGTATTTTTGTAGCACTGAAAAATATTAATGTAACCTTGATCACAAAAAAAAACAATAAAATCCAGATTATGGGATGCTTTACCAAACAGCTATCTTAGGCTCTTAGAAGATGTCTTTGTTGGGACTGGAGATGTAGCTTAGTAGAAGCCCTTGGCAGGCATGTGTAAGGCCCTGGGTTTGATGTCTACCACCAAAAAGAGAATTAGTGTCATCAAAACCTTCTCTAAGACTGAGGAAAGAATGAAGATATATGCTAAGTAAACAAATATGAGAGTTCTGAACAAACTGTTCAATCCTGACTCCATAGAAAGTTTGTTTAAAAAAAAAATGTTACTGGGCTATTGGAAAGACTTAAGTATGTACTATGCACTACTAGCTTTTATGACGTTTTGTGCTGTATAATAGTAGTATGTGTAGTAAAGTTCCAGTTTTTATAGATTCATGCAACAGCTTAATATTCAACTACTTCGGAAAAAGTTTATAAAGTAATGAAACAAATGTGTCCACACACCAATAATTATTGAATTTAGGCGAAGAAAACTCTACTTTTCTGTAGAGGTGAAAACTCAAAATCAAAAGTTAAAAACAGTAAAACAAAACAACAACTCTGATAGGCTACTAGAATCAAGCCACTTGGAGTCTACTGATATATCTAAATAAGCAAGAGAACAATAAATACTAAATGTTTGGCTCAACAGCATCTGCTCTAGATGAGGTGGTGCACACCTGTAATCACAGCACTCAAAGAGGCATAGACAGGAGGATCTTGAGTTCAAGGCCAGCCTGTACTATACAACCCAAACTAAGTCAAAGTGTGTTAAAAAAAAAAAAAAGAAAAGAAAAAAGTAAAAAACAAACAAACAAAAAAACAAAACAAAAAAAACTGAAACAGAAAACCTAGTGAGTGACTTCTGTATGTCAGATGATAGTTATTTTCTAACTTTCAGACTATCTCATGGGCCATTTATATAGTTCAATAAAATGTTAATGACAAACTCCATGGAAATACACTCAATTGGAAAGTGGAAGAGCCAGAATTTGAACTCTAAAGCCCATGTTATTCATTTAAAATATGTGAATTATTACACCAAAGTATTTCATCGGAGATAGGGTTGCCTTTAATGCTGCTGTTCACATTAATACATACCAAGGAAATGCCTACAAAACTTTAGCCCCTATCATGAAGAAACAAATGGACAATCTTCTCAACCAATTCTAGAAGCTATAGGAAGATTTAAGAAACTAGCTATTCTAATTCTCCAAACTGCATTTTCCTTCCATGATACGAATCATTCCCAATACTAACATTCTTTGAAATAATGACAAGGATTTTCTATTGTGCAAAATGTCATAGAATATTTTCAGAACTTGTTTCTTATTAAACTGACTTCGATTTGAGAACTGGCACCATCCTTTACCATATTTGTATTCTTGGGCAAGTTTTTTAACCTCTTTTGAGCCTGCTTCCTCTTCTGTTAAGCAGTGGTAATAATACCTACCGTAGAGGGTTGTACAGATTAAGCTTGACATAGAACTCAAAACTCTGGCTATAGCAGCACCACTAGAAGCTTAGGCCTGGCAGCCATATTCCACCATAACAAAATTGTTATAGAAGGGAAACCTCACTACCCAACATCAGCTAAAGAAATGGTAAAGGCTGTTTTTGCTGTTCTATGGTAAATTCAACAATAAACAAGCACCTGAATGCTTGATGTGAAAATCATGTAATTTTCTGATGTTTTACACCTATTTCAACTTCCGCATGGAATCATGGATCATGACAACTGATTAACAAAGTTTCAAAGCTGTCCAGATTTTACCTTATGCAAATCTAAAATGAAAAAGTCACTTACTCTGGTGGCGGCATTTTGGAGGGTTCCACATCTCGTAGGAACTCACACTGAAGAGCCTGCTCAGCAGTGCAACGCTTACTGGGATCCAAGGCAAGCATGTAATCAAATAAGTCGAGTGCAGCTGCAGGGATACTAGCACCAGAGGACACAAAAGTCAGCACAGTCTTCACACATGCTCTGTGCTTCTATAAGCACTTATTTTACAAATTTGAAAATTAATTTTAAATTGTATTCTAACTACCAATTGCTTTACTCTATCTGTATCTTTAAAGTCTTCATTACTTTATAAACTAATAAATTCAAAGTAATTTAGTAATCAGTTAAGTATTAATGAAATATTGGTTAAATAATGTATGCAGTATGTTGGACACATACCAATTTTCTTTTTAAAAAGTATTGTTATTTTTATACAGTGCTGGACTATTTAGCAAACAATATCCTTTATTACTCTATGAGCAATTCATGGTTATAAATTAAAATCTAATAGCCTCCTAAAATAAAATAAAAACTTGCGGGCAGTGGTGGCGCACGCCTTTAATCCCAGCACTTGGGAGGCAGAGGCAGGCAGATTTCTAAGTTCGAGGCCAGCCTGGTCTACAGAGTGAGTTCCAGGACAGCCAGGACTATACAGAGAAACCTTGTCTTGAAATAAAAAAACAAAAAAAACCCCTAAACTCAAGTCATGTGAAAGCTGTTTCAATGAAATTTACAATACTACTATTAAAAGTTTTCTTTGTGTAAACAAATAAAACCTAATGGCTCAGTCACAGACTTTATGAGGTGAAAGGCACTTCACATGCAACAAAGAGAAACGCACAACACAAGGCCCTAAAAGAAGAGCTGTAGTATATCTATCTCAGGTCAAGGTGATACTTAGATTTCCTAAGAAATGACCTTCTCAGCTGTGTGTGCAAGGGCACACCTATAATCTCAGCACTTACGAGGCAGGCAAGGTCATGAGTAGCTACATAGACAATTCTAGGCCAGCCTGTGAAACTCTGCCGTCAATTATAAAGAAAGACAAAAAAACCTACTAAAATCTCAAAATGACTACAGAATAAACATTCAATGCAATATGAATATTTAAGCATCCCTTTCTTACAAAACAAACTCTTCTCTTAACTTCCGCCGATATTGCTTCTTTGGTTTCATGGTGTTGAAATATGGCAGTTTGATTACATCAGGCCACACTGCAGGACATGGACTCCCACATATACGGCTAAACAATACAAAAGAGGGGGGGGAGGGAGGGGGGAGAGAGGAGGGGGAGAGAGAGAAATTATATTACAAACTACATATAAAAACTAATAAATATAATTTTTCAAACATCAACCAGTTGTTAAGGACATGAAAGCCTTGATACAATGTTATGAGGAATTTGAATATTTTAGCCTTCACAATTTAATTTGAAAATTCCCAAATTTCCCACATATACATTAAATCTCCTAAAGAACCTTCCTATTGCATAAAATCTTAAAACATAGGTAGTATTTACAATACGTGGCCTATATGTTACAAATTAAGGAAACAAGTTTAGTTTATGTCTCACTCTAGTTTTGAGGTGCTGACATGGTCTCCTCTCATAAACACAGGGTGTTTTGATGGTAACAGGAGATACAGGCTTCCTACCCAAATGTAAACCACTGCCTCTAGATGCAAACAAAAAGCACTCTGAAGGTAGAAATCTTGAAATATACAGTTCTGCAATTTCAGCAGTGACACTGGTCACAAGAATTTACACATTTTAATCATTCTACTCTTTGACTATGCCTTGAAATTCCTCAATAGTTTGGTATAAATATATAGGTAATCACACTGGGAAAATGATACACATACACACACAAAAGTGACTACACATCAATTCTCACAACAATTTATGTATATCATTAATAAAACTATCAGTGGGCTTGTGAGATGGCTCAGTGGTTAACAGCACTGACTGCACTTCCAGAGGTCACAAGTTCAAATCCCAGCAACCACATGGTGGCTAACAACCATCTGCAATGATATCTGATGCCCTCTTGTGGGGTGTCTGAAGACAGCTACAGTGTACTTACATATAATAAATAAATAAAAAAAATTTAAAAAAAAACTATCAGTAAGGCTTGGCTTAACACGTTAAGACAAAATATAGGTCTATCACTGCAACTAGTAATGTATTATTTTCTGTATACTAGTGTCGTTTCTGCTTAAAACTCAATTTTGAAAACCTCCTCAAACTTCTAAAGCAATGTTGAAATCTTGGAGAATGGGCTCTGATAGGATCCCAAAAGGATACCACCTCATGCACATGAGCCTCATCCCTTATCAGAATGTGTTTCTTTCCAGGCTGCTCTTTCATTTCTGTGATTCTATTAGATTCTAAGCAGCTGTATCCTTATCACAATCTACCCAACAAGGTCCTCTCTTCCCCAAAGACTATGAAGAATAGACATTCTTTCGCATGCTATTTTTTTCTCCTTTAGCACTTATTTGACCCTGTATATTTTCATTGTATGCCTAGCTGTTTCTCTTGGACCCAGGCAAAATGATATACATTAATAATATAGAGTATACTAGAATAGAGAGATGATGGGCACATTCAACTGCTGATATAAAAGACAATTTAAGTGAGAGAATAGATGAAGATTTTTTGGTCATAGTTCCAAGGATAAACCATAGCCAGTGAAAAAGGATAAGAGAAATATGTTACAGGCAGGGGAAACAAACAAACAACAACAACAAAAAAAAAAAAAAAACAGGCACAGACATTAAAAATAGCAAAGAATAAGACACATAACAGGATGACTAAATATAGGAGTATAGCTAAAATTTATGATGTTCAAGGGAGGTGAGCTGGAAGCAGACATACAGTTATTCAGTGAAGTTTAACCAGCCTTCTACAAATGCATAATGCAGACAGACTGAAACAAACTTTAGATTTGAATCCTGTCTTTCATATCAGTCTAAATATACAACTTAGGAATCTGTTCTGTGTAACAGTGATCAATATTACTTCAAAGCCATGAAAAGAATTAGCACCTGTCTATAAGAGGTACAATGAACATAAATAGTTTCAAGTGTTTTATTACATGTGCTGTTGGAAAATAACTATTAAAGGTACCAGCCAACAGCAGCACACAAGAAAGGCTCAAAATTGTGGCTTTACGGATTTACAATACACAAAAACACATAGCATTGCATTATGTAACAATTCTCAAAGTGTTGAAATACTGATGATGGCATATTATAAGGAAATTTTGATTTCTGGTTTTGAATTTACTCTCTGCAAAAGCTGATGAATTTTCATTTGAGGAACACAAAATACGCATTATAATATATTCACAAACACAAGAATTTCCACATCTCTACTACTAAGAACGTATTCAATGAACCAGATGTGCTGCACATACTCTGTAATCCCAGCACTTGAGAGGCAATGGCAGAAGCAGGTAGATCCATGAGTCCATGGACAGCCTAGCCCGGTTTACTTAGGTTGCAGGCCAGCCAGTGCTGGAATGTAAGCACCATACCCCTCCACCTTTGAATACCCCAGTGTGTGCTTGCGTGCGTGCATGTGTGTACATTTACTTCTCCTTAATTTTTTATTTTTGAGGCTTTTACATTTTAGTTCATCAGTTTGAATTTTAGCTCTACTGTTCTCATCATCTGTACTTCTTTCCCTGGAATTGTAATGCCACAAATTACATTAAAAGATTTTCTAATATACACTGATCCTTATAGTCAAAGGAAGATTATAACTCAAGCTTAATAAAGGAACTATTTCATTTTAATAGTTTATAACAATTTATTTTCTACTTGTTTTGCATCAGTATTTTTATGGGACTGAAATATAACAGATATTCTCAAAAGTGAGGCCAAGGGCTGGAGAGATGGTCCAGTGGTTAAGATGAAAGTCATGTACCAATTTTACCAGAATCAGAAGTTTTCTTCATTTAGAAGCGATGCAGTCTTAATTTTTGTAACCACACAACAACCTAGACCTGAAGCTTTAAAAGTGCATACTCTTAATCTTTAGCTGGGAATGGTAGCACATATCTCTAACACTTGGGATGCTGAGGCAGGCAGATCTTTAGAGTTTAAGGCTAGCCTGGTCTACAGAACAGAGTAAGACACCCAGGGGTACAGAGAAATCCTGTCTCAAAAAAAAAAAAAAAAAACCACCCGAAAACAACAAGACCATGTGTGAACCTTTGTGTACATCCACATAGAAACAATCTTTATCCCCATCTGCCCCATTCTGTTACCTCTAATACTTTCCATTCTTTTTTCATCCTTTCTTAATCCCTTCTATCTCTAATGAAAACTGCTCCATCAGCCTTGTAAAAATATTTGTATATTATGCTGTATTTAAATTTATTGCTACTGCAGATTGAAACCAGAGTGTACTACATGTTGGGAAAGTGTTCTACCACTGAGCCTCATCTCCAGGTGAAGTAATCAGTCATTGCAGTTTACACTTTAAACAAGGTTTTTATTACTATTCCGACCTGGTCAGTTTTTCACTTTTAATCTGGATACCAACATTTCAGCATATTCCTCTGCTTCTGACTGAAGTACCATTGCAGACAAGGTAAGACAGGAAGTCTGCACTGCGGCAGACTGACTATATTAACTTCCTACATTCCTTGGGTGTGTTATTAGTCCTGTTCTAACTATGAAGAGCCAATTTACAGCATCACAGAACTTACATCACAAATAAGCAGGACTCATGGGACTGGTATCTGAACTCAAGTCTATCAGACTCCAAGGCCCACTCCCCACCCCCTTCAGTATACTTTAGCTGTCTGATTCACATCTAAGAAACTTCTTAGTTTTTCTAAAGTTTTTTTAAAAATGTTAACATACTCTATGCAACTTTTAAAAATACTATCAGAATCAAACATGTCCAAATATATAAACTAGAAAATAAACTCTCCCTTCTTAAGTTTCTCACAAGTTCATCTTCAGATGAACAATTACGGACGTCTTTGATGTGTTTTCTCTAAATGGAATCAAACTGTGAAACTGTTCTTATGCTGCTATTCTGTATCCTACCTGCAAAACACTTCACAGAGTAGATGGACAGAACTTGAGCTGTTCTACTCCTGGTCACTAACTTAATATTCATAAAAACAAATCAAGTACACTTACATCTAGGGGTCTTTAATGACTTTGAAGAACTTAATTTAGATTTTGGCTTAAATGTTGCCTTCCTTTACCACTCGTGCACGCGTGCGTGCACACACACACACGCATGCACACACACACACAAAACCCTCATCATTTCCTACACCTTTATATCCTAACAATTGGTTTTGTCTGTGCCCACCCAGAACCAGCAAATAGAAATAGGGGACTTTCTCTCCTTGGACTCCAAGGCATTCTCAAACATGCCATCAACAAACATTGTTCATGCTGGGCATAGTGGCATATGTTCATAACCCCAGCATTTAAGAGGCAGGAAGACTTGAGGCCAACCTGGCCTACAATGTGATTCTAAGGCTAGATTGGGTAAAATAGTGAGATCCTGTCTCAAACATTTAAACATAAATGATTTTGATTTGCTCTCCTCTATATTAGACTCTATGGTGCATATCAACTGCTTTACTCTCTGAAGCTCTCGTGTAATTCCACTGATTTACCCATATATTGTGATCAAGTAGTTTGGTTATTGTATTTGGTTTTAACAAGCTATGTTAAGTTCTCCTTTAAAAAAAAAAAAGTCTTTTCTCCTTATTTTTTTGTCCCTCTACTCCCTTCCTAGATATTTTCACATTTATCTTTACATAGATATTTCAAAAAAAAAAATGTGTGCAATGTGAAAAACCCATGTTTGGAAATTTTAGTTATGTATGCAAGGAAACATAATGGGACTGGAGAGCTGGCTCAGCAGTTAAGCGCACACACTGCTCCTGCAGGGGATCCTACAACCAATGGCTCACAGACAACTGGAACTCTAGCACCAGTGGAGCTGAGGCCTCTAGCCTTTTCTAGCATACACACTCATGTGCACAAATCCACATACTGAAAATAAACATAAAGGCAAACCACATTTAAAATAGGATAAACTGCCAGTTTAAAAAGCCCTTTAAAGCCTAGTAATCAAAAATAAAATATGCCTCTCCAACAGTCTTTTTTTACCATTTTAATTTTTAATTATGTGTATTGTACTGATCTATATGTACATTTGTGCACATAAGTATAGTGCCCTGTGGAGATCAGAAGAAGGAATCATAT